GTTATAGTTCACAGCCATAGAAATATGTGCTGAAGCTTCCATAAATTTTTATGAGATTAGGATTCCCATCCACACTCTACTCATAACAACCATTTCTCACCCCTTTTCAAACTTCAACTCTCTTCAAAAGTAAACGTGGAAGTATTTATGGATACATATTCCAAAAGAAAATGGGCGAAGCAATTTTTCCGTCGTCTCTGTCGTGAGATGTGGAAAATCTTTTCAAATAGTTTCAGTTCGCCCTTTGATCACTTTTCCTTTTTTTTTTTTGAATGGCATGATGCCCGGTGTGTTTTATTTCGTTGATTTCCACCTGCTTTGCGTTAGCAACTGTTGAAAGCTGGAGCATGATTTTGATCGTGACTTGGGAGAGTTAGGAAGTTGATCCATCATACATGGATGGGTTCAGTCAGCAGATCAAACAATTCCTAGGCACATCACTTGTTGCTGAAAGTGAGTTCAATTCCCATAGATTTCTAGATGGATGGAGAAATGTAACAGTGTTCCCTTGTTGAAAGCAATACAGTGGCCCATTAGCAAATATATGTGTGGGTGGCTTCCGTGAACTGTTCTCCCTTTTCTCTCAAATCTCCTTTGTTTTTCTAACTCATGGGGGCAGTAAGCTTACCTCAGACGCAGCCTGGAATATTCCCTGAGGGTTGCCTTGGGAGACGGGCACCTTTGTAAAAATAACAGGTGTATCTAGATAGTTTTGGTCTTGGTATCTTCAAAGGGAAACCTGCAAAGCAGAGAGGGAAAATGGCAAATCCTGACTGCTGTTAATTGTTCTCCTTCAGTAAAAAAAGCATGGCTTGTCTATAGATTCCGTCTAGTATCTCTTTCCAAATTAGGGGCTGGCCCTCTGTGCTTTATTATCTGATGTAGATAAAGCCGCCCGTATCTCCAACTTCAAAGAAGAAACCTTTGGCACTGTCCATTTCAATTAATCACGAGAGAAAAGAGTTTTTAAGTAACTGGAAACATTTATTCTAATGTATGAGAAGATTTCTTACAACTAAGCATTTCTTTTCAAAATGCAAGGCAAGCATAAGTGCTTAGCAAAAAGACTTTCTTATCTTTATACACTTTCATTCTCGCTAATCAGCAGTAACAAAGACGTGGTTAATTTTAGAAGATTTATATTTGATGTCCCCCTCTCTCTGTGCCATCCTTCATTTGCTTTTCTTTCTTTTTTCTTTTTTGGTTAAGAAGAAGGAAAAATAAATAAAGGTAGAAAACTACAGGATACAAAACAGGAAAGTAAAAACCCCAGAATTATTGTGTGTAGAGTATGCTCACAGAACTATGCAGCGGTGTATGGGATGTTAGAGGAGGGGTAATAATAATAATAATAATAATAAATTTTATTTATATCCCGCCCTCCCCAGCCAAAGCCAGGCTCAGGGCGGCTAACAACAAATAAATAATCAAACAATTAAATAGTCCAACATTCTAAAACATTTCATTATAAAAATTAATTAAAATCAAATTAATGGCAACCGTTGAGCAAAGTTCTGTGTAGGTTGCCGGAGGTGGGAGTCAGGCTGGGCCCTGACCAAAGGCCTGGTGGAACAACTCTGTCTTGCAGGCCTTGCGGAAAGATGTCAGGTCCCGCAGGGCCCTAGTCTCTTGTGACAGAGCGTTCCACCAGATTGGAGCCGCAGCCGAGAAAGCCCTGGCTCTAGTTGAGGCCAGCCTAACCTCTCTGAGGCCTGGGACCTTCAGGATGTTTTTATTTGCAGACCGTAGGTTCCTCTGTGGGGCATACCAGGAGAGGCGGTCCCGTAGGTACGAGGGTCCTAGGCCGTATAGGGCTTTAAAGGTTAAAACCAGCACCTTAAACCTGATCCTGTACTCCACCGGGAGCCAGTGCAGCTGGTATAGTACCGGATGAATGTGATCTCGCAGCGAAGACCCCATAAGGAGTCTCGCCGCGGCATTCTGCACCCGCTGGAGTTTCTGGGTCAGTCTCAAGGGCAGCCCCACGTAGAGCGAGTTACAATAATCCAGTCTGGAGGTGACCGTCGCGTGGATCACAGTGGCTAGGTCAGGGCGAGAGAGATAAGGGGCCAACTGCTTAGCTTGGCGGAGATGAAAAAATGCCGCCTTTGTTATAGCTGTAATCTGCGCCTCCATAGAGAGGGAGGTATCGAAGATTACACCCAAACTCTTAACGGACGGTGCTGGCACTAATTGCACCCCGCAAGAGATGGGAGTTGCCCCCAATCCCATATCGTCCCGTCCCAGCCAGAGGACCTCTGTCTTCGAAGGATTTAACTTCAACCGGCTTCCGCGTAACCATCCAGCCACAGCTTCCAAACATCTGGTCAGTGTGTCTGGGGCCGAGTCAGGATGGCCATCCATCAACAGATAGAGTTGGGTGTCATCGGCATACTGATGGCAACCCAGCCCAAAACTCCGGACAAGCTGGGCGAGGGGCGCATAAAGATGTTAAAAGCATCGGGGAGAGTATCGCACCCTGAGGCACTCCACACACCAAGGAGTGGCGGGATGACAATTCCCCCAAGCGCCACCCTCTGTCCCCGACCGGAGAGAAACGAGCGCAGCCATTGAAGGACTGTGCCCTGGATCCCCACGTCGGCAAGGCGGTGGTCCAGGAGTTCGTGATCAACCATGTCGAAGGCTGCTGACAGATCTAGAAGAATCAGCAGCCCCGACCCGCCTCGATCCAGCTGCCTACGGAGATCATCTGTTAGGGCGACCAGAGCCGTCTCGGTCCCATGACCAGCGCGGAAGCCAGACTGGAATGGATCTAGAGCCGATGTTTCATCCAGAAACCTACCAAGCTGTTCAGCAACCGCTCTCTCAATCACCTTACCCAGGAATGGAAGATTCGAAACCGGGCGGTAATTGGATAGATCTAAGGGATCTAATGATGTTTTCTTTAAGAGCGGGCGCACCACTGCCTCCTTCAATTCCCCTGGAAATATCCCGGTGCCAAGGGACAAATTGATGATATCCCCCGGGGGGCCCGCACCTCGTCTGGACACGCTCTAATCAGCCAAGACGGGCACGGGTCAAGAGGACAGGTGGTGGGCTTTCCAGCTCGGAGGAGTCTGTCCACATCGGCTGGGGATATCCGATCAAAGTGGTCCAATACTGGACCCGAGGACAGTCGAGGGGCCTCCAGTTCCTTTATTGTATCCAAATTGGCAGGGAGGTCATGGCGGAGCAACAGGACCTTCTCCGCAAAAAAGCTCGCAAACGCCTCACAGCTATGTGTCAGATTGTTATTTAAATTTGGCTGTCCTTCAAGGGACGTTAAAGACCTAATTATACTAAATAATTGCGCCGGGCGAGAGCTAGCGGATGCAATGGAGGCCGAGAAGTAAGACTTCTTAGCGGCCTTCACCGCCATCTCATAGGTTTTCATAAAAACCCTATAAGATGTTCTTGAGGCTCCGTCACGGGCACCCCGCCATACTCGCTCTAGCCGTCTGAGGTCCCGCTTCATTTTCCGAAGCTCCTCGGTAAACCAGGGAGCCCGGTTTCTGCGGAGTCGCAGAGGGCGCTTAGGTGCGATCTCATCTATGGCTGCCAGGAGCTGGGTATTCCAGCCCTCAACAAGCTCAGTCAATGAGTCGCCAGGGGAGCAAGGTCCCGCAAGGCTTGACGGAATCTATCAGGGTCCATCAGCCTCTGCGGGCGAGCCCAAATCGGCTCGCCACCTAAGCAGGGTGGGGGTGGAAAGTCAATCCTGGCTTTCAGAGCGTAGTGATCAGACCATGGCACCTTAATTGAAGGAGACATGATCACATCTATACCTACGCCAAAGATCAAATCCAGCGTGTGGCCTGCTTGATGTGTGGGGCCTGAAACAAACTGGGAGAGCCCTAGTGTTGCCATGGAAGACACCAGGTCCAGAGCCTGTGAGGAGGGAGTGGCATCAGCATGGATGTTGAAGTCCCCCAATACCAATAGGTTAGGGAACTCCAAGGCCCAGCCGGCCACCGCCTCCAGTAGGCCTGACAGGGTGGCTGCTGGTGCGCTAGGTGGCCGGTACACCAGCCAGACAGCCAAGCTCACCTCAGAGCCCCACACTAGGCCAACACATTCAATGCCAGGGATCGATGGCGATGGTAGAGCCCTGAAAGGACAATCTTCCCGGATTAATAATGCCACCCCTCCCACGGCGCTCAGTCCGTGACTGGTGGAGGACGGAGAAACCCGGGGCGCCATCTCTCGTAAGGTAACTGTTGCCCCTTCGCGTACCCAGGTCTCCGTCACACAAGCCAGGTCAACCCCCTGCGAGGTAAAGAAATCTCGCAGAGTGGCGGTTTTGTTGCCTATAGACCTGGCATTGCACAACACCAGTGACGGAGGTGAGTAATCCTTGCTCACCCTACCCTCGTCCCTCGGGATGGGGCGCAGATTGGAAGGGGTACGAGCATATCCGTATCTCGATCCCCTTCGCCTATAACATCTGCCCCCACCACCATACCTCCCTCGCCCTCCACGGTAGCAATCCCAAGCCTCGTACAAGCCTCCATTTACAAAATAGAAAACCAAACCAAACTGAAAACAATTCTACCTAAGCAAAACCAATCCCCACCCCAAACCACAATAAAACAGAACAAAATAAAAATACATAGATAAAAACCACTGTTCACAGTGGTACAATAAAGTAAAAAGTAAAAACACCTTTAAAATACTTTAAAATATATAAAAACATTTTTAACAATTGCTGCGGCAGCACCAGCGTCCTTAAAACAGTAGCGGAGGTGAGTCTGGGCCCCGCCCCCTAGGCCAGGTGGAATCAGCCTGAAGAGGGAGCGGCCTTCCCCAACACTCACGGTGCAGCAGCAGCGATGTCCCAATGCCTCAGTGAGGCTTCTTAAAGCTGTGGCGAAGGTGAGTCTGGGCCCCGCCCCTAGGCCTGGTGGAATCAGCCTGAAGAGGGAGCGGCCTTCCCCAACACTCACGGTGCAGCAGCAGCGATGTCCCAATGCCTCAGTGAGGCTTCTTAAAGCTGTGGCGAAGGTGAGTCTGGGCCCCGCCCCCTAGGCCTGGTGGAATCAGCCTGAAGAGGGAGCGGCCTTCCCCAACACTCACGGTAGTACCTCTTTTGTCCCCATCCGGCACCCAGCTCTCACCTGTGACTCCTAGAAGCTGTCAGCATGTGGCAGTGGCCACACCCCAATGAAATCAGATGAGGATAGCCAATGGGTCTCAAACCCTCAGTGAGTTAGGGAGTTCCCCCGCAGGTGAAGACAGGCTCCCGCAGATTGAGCAGATGAGAGAAATTGTGGGTCCATTGGTTAAGAAGGCAGTTTCTGCACTTGCTGTAGAGGGAAGTGAAGGGCAGAGGGCAGAGGGAAGTGAAGGGGCTCATCAGCCTGGGAAGGTAGTCCTTCTAGGACAGGGGTCAGCAAACTTTTTCAGCAGGGGCCAGTCCACTGTCCCTCAGACCTTGTGGGAGGCCAGACTACAGTGGTACCTCGGGTTAAGTACTTAATTCGTTCCGGAGGTCCGTTCTTAACCTGAAACTGTTCTTAACCTGAAGCACCACTTTAGCTAATGGGGCCTCCTGCTGCTGCCACGCCGCCGGAGCACGATTTCTGTTCTCATCCTGAAACAAAGTTCTTAACCTGAAGCACTATTTCTGGGTTAGCGGAGTCTGTAACCTGAAGCGTATGTAACCTGAAGCGTATGTAACCTGAGGTACCACTGATTATATATAGATATTTTTATAGGGGGAATGAATGAATTCCTATGCCCCACAAATAACCCACAAAGATGCATTTTAAATAAAAGGACACATTCTACTCATGTAAAAACACCAGGCAGGCCCCACAAATAAACCAGAGATGCATTTTAAATAAAAGGACATGCTGATTCCCAGACCGCCTGCGGGCCAGATTGAGAAGGCGATTGGGCTGGATCTAGCCCTAAGCCTGAGTTTGCCTACCCATGTTCTAGGAGAAAGAAAACTGTGATCCTAAACCGCCACTGCTTTGTGGGATATCTGCGGGAGAAGGAAAGGCTAGTGGAAAGCTGATTTAGATAAGAAAAAGTGAGTTAAGTATGCTTCCCCAGCACCTCTGTTCCAATGCTGTTCAGAAAGGCCCCCCCCCCCCCGAAAGGCTACTTTGAAATAAATATTAAAACATGGTGGAGGGATCAAATCCCAAGTATTGATCATAGCAATCCCACATCATTAAGAGAGGCCTGTTTTCTCAAACTCCTAATGCCATTGCTTTTAGGGCAAGTTTACACATTACCCAGTAAAATGTTAGCTGCTGGAAAATGACACCAAGTGGTTCAGATGGGAGGGCAATAGACACTTTTCGTGTTTATCCTTCCAATTGTGTGCAGTCTCTCCATGCCAGAAACATGATGCCCCAGTGCTGTCATGGAGACTCTTCATGGACACTTCTTTTTTTGGGCAGACTCTCTTTGCCAACACTAGCCACCTCAAGAATGTATGGCTCGGGAATGAAAAATTAGCACAAGATTTAGGAGATTACCGAAGATCACTGGCATGCTTTTTCACGTGCTAAAAATGATAGGATTCCTTTCAGATTGTCGTAGACTAGTATTAGATCAGTCTATGGTGGAAAGCTAAAAGTTCCATGTAACATTATACACCACTGACAGGCTTTACTGTTTGCTAAAGTTTCCTGAACCTCTGTACTGCTGCTGTTTTCCCCATTTAGAGAGTGATATACATGAAAATGCTTATTCCAGAAGTGGTAGGACATTTATTTTTTTGTCACTAAGGTATTGAAATTAAATTAGAACAGAGGAGAAATGGTCATTGGCCCGTTAAAGAAGGACCACATACACATGGCTAGAAGATTAGTTAACAACTGGTTTGGCTGCATTACGCATTAGAGACAGAATGCCATCATTTCACTCCTGAGCAATGATACTTTTTCCAGATTGTCAGAGGGGCAGAGGTGTTCTGGGGAAATTGCTTCCTTCACAATGCAACTAGTATCTATGTGAGACATATTCCATTCTTTTGCCATATATGTGCAAGCAGATATCTTTCTGGGCTGAGAAGTATAGTGTGCCAATTTTAAACTGCTTTAATTAAATAACTTCCATCATTATGATGAGCAAAAGAAAAGCAAAAAATATCCAATTTAATGTTGTTTAATTTCAAAGCAGTTAAAAACCCCCTCCAAACAGTAAGAACTTGAAATCTAATCAGTTACTTTTCAGGCATCAGTCCCTGAAAATATATGCTTAAGATTCAACTATCATGATATATTTGCTTGGCATGAGAAGGTGCTTGGATAGGGAACCAGAAATTATGGGGGTCCCTGAATGACATCCACAAGCCCCACCCACTGACTCCTTCCAATTTTAGCTAAATTATACCCTCCCTAGTATGCTTCTAAAAATAGTAATTAAGGAGGCTGGAACAAGAGGAAGACAGACCCTCCAAGTGTCCCTATTTTCCAGGGACGTGCCTGATTTAGAGAAGCCATCCTGGTTTCTGATTTGATCCTGGAATGTCCCATTTTTCCTTAGGATGTCCCTAATCATGGTTTGTTGAGTGATTAGCATCATTTAAACAATTAAACAATTATATACACAAGGGCCACTGAAAGAAACTGATGTAGATCGATTTTTGGAAACAAACGGATTACAAAAAATCTCTCAAGAAAATAAATTAATGTTGAATTATAAAATAACTGAACAGGAGATAGAAGGTGCCATTCAAAATATGCAATTGGGTAAATCTCCAGGACCGGATGGACTGACTTCTAGATATTACAGATCCTTGAAAGAATGGCTAGTACAACCCTTGAAAGAGGTCTGTAATGAAATAATGGAGGGGAAAAGGGCACCAGAGTCGTGGAAAGAAGCTTATATTACACTTGTACCAAAAACAGAGACTGAAAAGACGCAGCTTAAGAACTACCGTCCCATATCATTACTTAATGTGGATTACAAAATTTTTGCAGACATTTTGGCCAAGAGACTGAAAAAAGTGTTGATGGAAGGGATTCATAAAGAACAAGCGGGCTTTTTCCCGGGTAGACACTTGTCTGACAATATGAGGAACATAATTGACATTTTGGAGAAACTAGAAGTGAACATAAACACTAAAGCAGTTTTGATATTTGTGGACGTGGAGAAAGCTTTTGACAGCATTTCTTGGAGTTTTATGAAGAAGAACCTACAGGGTATGGGGGTAGGCCAAGGCTTTGAAAACGGTATAAGTGCAATTTATTCAGAACAAAAGGCTAAATTAATTGTAAATAATGTGGTGACAGAAGAATTTAAGATAGAAAAAGGGACACGACAAGGTTGCCCAATTTCCCCACTGCTTTTTATTTCGGTCCTGGAGGTTTTGCTGAACATGATCAGAAGGGACCAGTTGGTTAAAGGTATACAGGTCGGAGCCAAACAGTACAAATTGAGAGCATTTGCAGATGACTTAGTACTGACGTTACAGGAGCCAGAATCTAGTACCAAAAGGGTTTTAGAACTGATTCAAGAATTTGGTCAAGTCGCAGGATTTAAATTGAATAAGGTAAAAACTAAGGTTTTAGAGAAAAATTTAACACCAATAGAGAGAGAGAGGTTTCAGAATGAGACAGGTTTAACAGTGGTTAAGAAAGTTAAATACTTGGGGATCAACTTGACAGCAAAAAAATGGGAATTTATTTAAAGATAACTATGAAAATGTTGGGCTGAAGTGAAAAAAAGATTTGGAAATTTGGTCAAATTTGAAGCTTTCACTGCTGGGCCGTATTGCTGCGGTTAAAATGAATGTATTGCCTAGAATGTTGTTTTCGTTTCAAACATTGCAAATTGTGGACAAAATGGACTGTTTCAAGAGGTGGCAGAGAGACATTTCTAGATTTGTCTGGCAGGGCAAGAAGCCCAGAATAAAATTTAAAATACTAACAGATGCAAAGGAAAGAGGTGGATTTGCCCTGCCAGACCTCAAACTTTATTATGAATCAGCAGCTTTTTGCTAGTTGAAAGAATGGCTGCTTCTTGAAAACACTGACATTTTGGATTTAGAAGGTTTTAACAATGTATTTGGATGGCATGCATACTTATGGTATGATAAGGTCAAAGCACATAAAGCATTTAAAAATCACATTGTCAGGAAAGCATTGTTCAATGTTTGGATAAGATATAAGGATTTATTGGAAAATAAAACCCCAAGGTGGCTGTCACCGATGGAAGCGAAAGCTCTGAAAAAGCTCAATATGGAGGTCAAATGGCCGAAATATTGGGAAATTTTGGAACAAGATGGAGATAGATTGAAACTGCAGAGTTTTGAAAACTAAAAACAAAGTGCGAGACTGGCTTCATTATTATCAGATAATGGAGGCATACAATTTGGATAAGAAAATCGGCTTCCAGGTGGAAAAATCAAAATTAGAAACAGAATTGTTAGAACCCAAAACTAAGATGGGCACAAGATGTTGGACATAATATTATGTTTGCTGACTGGGAACAGTTATGGACCACAGGTATGAAGTTTACGGCATGTAATGCCCTAAGAGAGAATATTATGAAAATGATATACAGGTGGTACATGACCCCAGTCAAGCTTGCAAAATCTATCATTTGCCCGATAATAAATGCTGGAAATGTAAAGAAACTGAAGGTACATTCTTTCACCTTGGTGGACGTGCCCAAGGATTAAGGCTTTCTGGGAAATGATATATAATGAACTGAAAAAGGTATTTAAATATACCTTCCCGAAGAAACCAGAGGCCTTTCTCCTGGGCATTGTTGGCCAATTGGTGCTAAAGAAGGACAGAACTTTTTTTATGTATGCTACAACAGCAGCAAGAATACTAATTGCAAAGTATTGGAAGACACAAGATCTACCCACTTTGGAAGAATGGCAGATGAAGGTGATGGACTATATGGAATTGGCAGAAATGACCGGTAGAATCCGAGACCAGGGGGAAGAGTCGGTGGAAGAAGATTGGAAGAAATTTAAAGACTATTTACAGAAATATTGCAAAATTAACGAATGTTAGAATGATGTTGGATTGAAGTTAAGTGGTTTCTAGCGGTATAGGTACAAAAGAATATAGAAAAATTGGCTTTTAATATGTAAAAATTTAATGTTATAATATATCAAGATTAAAGATTAGGATTAAAAAGGAGGGAAAGGAATTGTTGGATTAACAAATTGAATTGGAATACAAAAGAGGGAGGTATGAGGAGGTCCGGGAAACAAGTAAACGTAAAAGAAGTGAAGAAAAGATGGAATTGTTTTTAACTGTTTTTTCTTTTTTCTACTTTGTATTTTTCCTTTTTATTGTTAATTTTTTTATTAATGTGATTTTTCTTCTTTTGAAACTTTAATAAATATATATATATATATTTTAAAGTGATTAGCATCATGGACTGAAGAAGATTGCTGTGAAACCTGGATAATATCTGAAGAACAGGTCTCATCTATTTGGCTCCAATTGATCATTTGGCTTTGCACTTCCAGCTAATGACCACTTGAAGAACGCTTTCTGGTAACCACTCCTACATTTATTGCTTTGTGCTTCCAGTGAACGACTATTTGTTCCAGCTGTGTTATGACATATTTATCATGTACATAACCAGTACAGCAACGAGAGAGACACTGGTGTTAGAATTCCTGCTCCGTGATTGCAGTCATAGGATTGTTGTCTATCACATGGCGGTGTATGTTTTGACTCCATAGAGTGGGAAGTGACGGAGACAGGATGTTTGTGTTTCTGTATTCCATGAAGTGGGACTATTGTCCTTTGTTCTTTTTCTCTTTGCTGTCTGATGCTAGAGAGAGAGAGAGGGAGCCATGTTTATATGTAAATAAGGTAGATTAGCCAAAATGCTGAGTTGCTGAGGTCTGTTACGCAAACTGCAAACACTCTGCGGATCCCTAAGTGTGCCGGTGTCTATTGGCATCAGTTGCTGTGATGTTCGGCTGAAGAAAGCTTTTGAAGCTCCCGAACGAACGACCAGGAGGGAGAGAACATGCCAGTCGGGCATGTATCTCTACCAGGGTCCTACTCGAGTGTAGGACGAGCTCCTGACAACTGGTACATTCTATGTTCCTGAGTATCTCCAGGCTTGGTTATGCACATTGCACTTTAGTTTGCTCATTGTCTAGTTGGTTTATGAGGGTATATATTTATTCCAGTAAAATTGCTCTTTGTATTCATAAGCCAGTTCTGGTGTTGTTGGTTTGTTGTTCAATTATCGTTCTAACACCTGATATTTTTGTGTATACGTTGTAGACATGACTGTTCATAAGCACAATCTCTCGAATTGTAGAGCTAGCTCAGCTCCTTGGTTTTCTGAGAGCCAGGAACTGCAAGGTGAAAGTGGTGCCAATGAGGTCAAAAGCTGATGAATGAAGCCAAGAATCAGAGCCGAAGACACCAAAAACACACCAAGGCCCAGAAGATTCTGCTCAGGGGGAAGCCTTTTATAGTCTGTTCTGTCTAGCAGGGCCCTGTCACCAGCCTGAATGGGCAGGGCAAGTTCAGAGCATGAAAATCCTTCATTGCCCTGGAAGATACTCCAAACTGCAGTTGTGATGATTCATTGCAGCTACATAAAGAGCTAAAGGTTCCTATTCTAGCTCACATGTGGGGGTTTTCTGACACAGAAGGAGTAGTTGGTAAAGTTGCTTTCCTCCTGCAGAAAAAGCAGATTCTGGACCAGATAAATGCCAGCAGAAACGAAGAATGGGTGTGTCTGCACTTAATTTTTGGTGCACATTCCATTTGTTTCAAAGTACGTCTGACATCAGGTTTCTGGCAATCCACACTATTTTTAAAGGGGGAAATATATATGTTGACCCAGATTTATTTTGCAGCAAATCTTCATGATATGAGGTTTTCTGAAAGCCTTGTATAACCTGTGTTGAATATGACGAAATAACCTCCACGGGTTCTATTAAATTGACTTCAATAGTATATTAAGCCCAGTGCTCAGGGGCATAGGAAGGGTGTGGGGGGGATGGGGTGGGCCGCCCCAGGTGTTATCCTGAAGGGGTGTGACATTCGGCGACACCCCCCACGACTCCCCCAAGCCCAGTGAGTGGCAAAGCGGCAAGCGGCAAAGCAGCTGCTATGGCTCTCCCTCTTTCCCTGGTTTGCTGTAGGCTTGGGGTGCCAGAAGACCCAGCTCCACCACTGCCAGTGTTTACATGTTGAAACGATATGTGGCATGGCACCATTTGCCTTTTCCATTGATGTTTACTGTCCGCCCCCCTTCCATCCTAGTTAAAGCACAGACAAGAGGAGAAGAGTTAACTCCCATAATCTGCTGCAACATCAGAAAGTCAGATACATGATGGCCGTATTCCAGTAGAATATGTATTAGTTTTAAAATCATGGGGAACATTAGCTCTGCCATAGACCATAATGGCTACTGAGGAACTCCTTCAACCAACCCTGTGCCAGCTAATGAGTCTGAAAGTCTACGGAGGATGCATCAGAAAGAGTCTTGTGGTACAGCAGGACACAACTCATTTGATGTAATATTATCTTTAACAGACGCTGGGTAGTTAAATATAGAACCAGTGGAGAAACTGATTCATTCTTTTCAGCCATCGTCTGATTTACTTCGCAAGCCATCCCTTGCCAGAGACTCCCTTGCCAGTGAGGTGTGGCCACAAACTCTGAGAAGCTTAAAGCAATATATTTAGATTTTTACATCAGGCATAATAGAAAGCTAAATTAGTTAGTGAGTTGAAAGTCAAAGACCAAAAGTACAGCTACAGTGCATGAATTTGATTAACCAATTAGCCCCCTTCGAAGAGTTTCTTTGTAAAAGAAACCCTTTGGCTTATTCATCCTGATAAAATGTAATCTGGGAAAAGATTTGAGGCAAAGAACTACTTGATTAATAGTTACTCAGATGACAATTAGGAACATGAATATAGGTGGTCAGGCCTCAAACATTCTTCTGCATTGAATATTAAAGTAAGCTGCTGAGTTTGCTGTATCTAGGTCAGCTCACCATGTGTTTCCTGATTTGGATCAACGTCCTGAACAGCTGTAAGATTGCAGGTCTTCAGTTTTTAAGTATCGGGTATTTCTTGAGACCGATCCAACTGACTGATGAAACTCACTGCCACAGGACATGAGACTGCACAATGTAATTATTAAAATTGTTTACAAAATGAAGGATTGCTCATCTGAGTTGCCTGTATCAGGGCCAAACTAGATGTGATGGTGTGGAGATGTCTTTTCATTTTCCAAGTAAGTTTAGGTTTACTGAATTTATGACTCGCTTCCCACAACAGAAAGAACTGAAGCAACTTGAAACATTAATAAAATGCAGGCATAAAAACAGGGGCACCAACTTTAGGGGGCTCTGGGTGCCCGAGAATCCACAAAAAAATGTTATGGATGCTCAGCACCCACACCGCAGGGCCCCCAATGCAACTTCCATTGCCTTGCAAAGCACTGGAAGTCATGTCCAAGGCCTTGCGAGATGCTTCATGTCCAAGGCCTTGCGAGAAGTCATGTCCAAGTCCTCAGAGATGCTTTTGGAAGTCTTGCGAGGTCTTGATCTTGACTTGCGGTGCCACTGGAAGTCAGGTGCCGAGGACGAGGGCACACATGTGATGTCACGATGTCATGTCACGCACACTGGGCACCCAACACCTGGGGCCCAAGTCAGCTCCCCTGTATAAAAATGCATTAAAACATTAAAAACATAGATTAACAATTGCAATATTGGTATCAGGGTATTGGGCAGACCTCTCTGAGGAACGCATTCCATAGATGAAGGGTTACTACAGAAAAGGCCCGTTCTTTCTTGTGCATGTATGCATATGTGTTCCAGTCCAGACAGGGAGTGTGGCACAGAATTAAGGTATTGTGGTTGAGGTGACCTCAGATGATATGAAAGCGCAGTCTGCAATGTTTGATCTTCAATAGCTTATTCACACATGCATATAATGGTTTCAAATTGCTGTTACCGAGTGAAAACATTCTGCTGTATAAGCTTATACACCAATATAATCAGTAACAGCTACTATTACATTGTTGAGAAGGCATGTATAACTCAAATTAAGCATTTCCTAATCATGCCCCTGATCTAAAAGCCCTTAACCTTAATTCCAGATGTGTGCAAGCTGATCGTGATTACTCAGTGGCATGGAAAATATGCATGTGAGCTATTATAATTTCTTATTTCTGGGGCTAAGCCGTAGTATTGCATGCCATTCAATACTTAATTCGTTTAAATCCTGCCTTTCCTCCAAGGTGCTCAAGGAAGCATTCCTCTGTTCCCTGATTTTTTTACTTATTCCCTGGAATCAAGTGCCATATCTAATGCAGGTGACACCTCTATTTTGGCCATCGAGAGCAATGGAGTCCCTGCAGCGAGCGTATCCTTCCCTAATTAAAACAAGCACTGGGAAGTTCAAGTTCAAGCCCTCTCATGGTTACAGGAATACCTCTTAAAACACATTGGTGAACCTCCAGTCCACAGGAAATATTTGACCCCAACACGTGTTCCAATTTGGCCCATGAAGTTGTTTCCCCAAACCATGCCCTCCTCCCTTGCCACTGATGTTGTATGTGATGTTGGCTGTTGGGCCAGCAAATGTGCTGCTGAAAGTGAACTCCCGGTTGTTCTTCAAAAGCAGTGCTTTCTGACGGTGCTGATCTGCAGACTGGTGCTAACAGCAACCTCCACTGAGATCAGCTGCACTAGAGAGTTTCCCATTGGGAACTTCCTAGTGAGGCCGAAGGGGCTTGATGTTAGCGTGAATTGGTTGATCGTTACAGTCAGTGAACCCCTTTGAAGGTATGCTCCATTGACAGTGCACATTCAAAGGCGCTCACGGCAAGCTCTGCTTTGCCCGCTTGCAGGAAAAGTGTTTGAATGCGAACCGTACCCACAAGCAAAACTCCAAAGGGACTCAGCTGGATCATACATACATTGTTGTTGTTGTTTAGTCGTTTAGTCGTGTCCGACTCGTCGTGACCCCATGGACCAGAGCACGCCAGGCACTCCTGTCTTTCACTGCCTCCCGCAGTTTGGTCAGGCTCATGTTTGTAGCTTCGAGAACACTGTCCAACCATCTCGTCCTCGGTCGTCCCCTTCTCCTTGTGCCCTCCATCTTTCCCAACATCAGGGTCTTTTCCAGGGAGTCTTCTCTTCTCATGAGGTGGCCAAAGTATTGGCGCCTCAGCTTCACAATCTGTCCTTCCAGTGAGCACTCAGGGCTGATTTCCTTAAGAATGGAGAGGTTTGATCTTCTTGCAGTCCATGGGACTCTCAAGAGTCTCCTCTAGCACCATAATTCAAAAGCATCAATTGTTCGGCGATCAGCCTTCTTGATGGTCCAGCTCTCACTTCCATACATCACTACTGGGTAAACCATGGCTTTAACTATACGGACCTTTGTTGGCAATGTGATGTCTCTGCTTTTTAAGAAGCTGTCTAGGTTTGCCATCGCCTTTCTCCCAAGGAGCAGGCGTCTTTTAATTTCGTGACTGCTGTCACCATCTGCAGTGATCAGGGAGCCCAAAAAAGTAAAATCTCTCACTGCCTCAATTTCTTC